TTATCCAAGTAAATCATCAATAAAAACTCTACTTTGATTATCCTAAAAACAGAACATTAATTACTTGTCAATTTTTATATTTACTAGAATATCTTTATAAATGGCATGCTTTTTGAAGGTACAGCTAGAATTGTTTAATAGTAAAACACAAAACTCTCACTTTTGTTACATTTAAAGTTTTCTAAATTGTTTACTATTCAATTACCCGTATAAACAATGTATTTTGTTATATTTTGTTTTCTATAATTGTGCAGTGCATTATGAGATTGTTACTTTTGATGTTGTCTGTACTGTATGTTTCCTGATTATATGAGTAAATAATACAAAAAAATTACAAAGCCTTCAGTATATTAATCATAGAAAGTACAAGATAATGGATGAATAAAAAACATGAGACTTGTGGATGGAAGCAATACAATTTAATTAAACCAGAATATTGAAATGGTCAAGTAGGAGAAATAAACGAAATGAAAAACACAAATTGGTCAAAAATGTTTTGGAGCATTAGAAAAAATAATACTACATACACGTGAATAAATTTAAAAGAAAAAACTACACAAACAAAGGAAAGAATGCAGTCCCAACTTTCTGATAAGCCTAGCATCCTACTATAAGCTCAATCTTCCATTGGATCAACTATTCTGTTATTATTTTAATGCCACTTTCAAAGTTACATAACTACATTTTCTTCTCTTTCACTTGTTACTGTCTTTACTTTTGGCTTCACTCAGAGAAAGGAAACAAACATTTTTTCTTTTAACTTTTTTTTATAGCCACAGTAAACAATTGTTAAATTTATGGTATTTAAATAAAAAAACAGTTCATTCCAACAATGAATATTCTATGAAATAAATGTGTAATGCACAAAACATTCCTGCAGTTTGGCCATTGTTCTAGTTTAATTCTGTTGTATTATTTCCACCTGCTAATAGTCTTTTATCATTTATTTTAAACAAGTATAACTAGATTTTTTTATTGTTTTGATCTTTGAATTAGAATGTACTATAAATACACACTAACTGAAGAAACTCCACACTTCATGGGAAAGAAAAAAAGAATGAAAATAGTGTACAGTCTCAAGCAGGTTCATGTGTACTGGCAGTTGTTAACTTAAAAAATGCATGAGAGCACTTTTTTGTTTCATGTTGGTGAAAAAAAGAGGGTCAAAACAAAGCACTGTTATCCTCAGCTAGAAAAATAAGAACAATGTGGAAAGTTCAATAACATGATAATAATCTTGCAGTTTCTTCAATTTAAGAAACTAAAGAAAGAGAAGGGGTAAAGACATTGTTAGTAAGTCTCAGTAAGAAACAGTTGATTTACAGGTTTCCACAACAAACTATAAGAAGGGTATTTTTATGCTGTTCACTACTGGTGAGATCCATATAGTACATCATATTGAGTAATTTAATATTTTTGCTTCTTAAAACACTCATTGTAAAGTTACTTATTTTCTATGTAAAATACATAGAGAACAGAACCCAACACTAATTAGTGGGATTAATTACAAGATTGATTTTTTTTTCTTTATGTGACTTATATTAACAAAATCACGAACCATAAGTAATTTGGTAAATAAGTAGTTTAGAAACATGTATTTTAAAAAGACAGTGAGTATGCACATCATAAGTAATTCTGAAGCTAACTTTAAAAATATCCAAGCTAAACATTTGTGTGCATATTAATTACCATAATACATGGTCTCTTGTTTCAGCAAAACCGTTTCACAATTTAGGTTCATGCCAATAACTATTTTTTTATTTTTTTTACAGTTAATGCTGACTGAAAATATAATTAAATATGTATATTAATTCGTAATTATTTTGAAGTAAATATATTTTGGCAATAGGATTACCAAATCTATGTATGAAGTTTCCAGCCAGCTCTTAATATTTACCATTTCCTAAATTTTTGAAGATCAAATAGAAACTAGCATTACAGAAAGTTTAAGCACATGGTTATGCCATAAAATGAGAAAACCAGTTTTATCCAAGTTAAAATGTAGATAATTAATGAACAACTGAGGCAAAATATGTCAAATATAATCTTTAAAGTTCAGAATCAAAGACTGATCCTCGTTATCTTTAACATATAAATAAATAAATTGTTTAAAACATACAGCACGACAGTATGAGAAAAAATACCTAATGAAAAACATGGAGCTTTTCAACACTGAATGAAAACTTCTCAATTTCATTCACGATGTAAACAAGTACATTTTCCAAAAACAATGCATTTGATAAAACGTTTAAGTTAGAAGTATTTTTGACATTCTGTTACATCTTCCCACTTTTGGTAAATCACAATTTTATTCAAGAAATTATTAAGCATATTTCTGAACAGAGAAAACAAATATATTTCTAACTATACCTAAATAACACAGTGCGCTACTTGTTCATTACTATAGTAAATAGCTCAAGCAAACCCACAAAATGACACTGTATTTTCTAATTGCAAAGACACATGACTTGGATTATTGCAGTCATTGTAAGTGATAAACCCAAGAAACCCATAAATCAACAGATCTCATTTTATCATAGTCAAAGGAATATCAGGACTTGAATTATTAGTTCTCGTATGTCCAAGTAAACCTTCCAAACCAAGAATATAACAGACTTCACACTTCACTAGCCAAAAAGGCTTGATGTATAATAAAATAATAGTCCATGTATGTAAACCTGAAAAAAAACAACAAAGAAGCAACAGGCTGTATTTGCCACTAGTCAAAACTGGTGTTTTTCATCAATGACCAAATGCTTAAAATAAGTTTGTTTCAAATATACATACGCAATTAATATATATTTATATTGAAATGTGAAGGAAAAGAAAGTTACACAAGATTAAAACTCAAGGATACAAAATATACTTTCATTTCTTAAGAGTTAACATCTACATTAATCACACTATGATTTTTTTATCTATTCTATTCTCTTGAAAATATCAGTTTGTTAAAATGTCAAAGTAACACTATTTTTTCAAAGCATAATTGAATAACTTGTTCTTGGATGGTGCTTTTACACAAATAAAATAATCGTCAGTGTTTTAGCCAGGTAAAGAATAACCAGCCAAGTCCTTTTGCCAAATAATTAATTATTCAGCCACCAAGTACTTGATTTAGCTATTTAAACAAACAATCTTTTTAGTTTGATGGGATACTGGAAACTATGGACATATGAAGTTAGTACGAAATTTTGAAAAAAAAAGGTAAATTACAGACTGAGGAGGGTTCAATACCAATACTTTAACAAAGAATCATATAATAACTCCAGGTGAATACTCATTTTGTAGTTGGCTCTGTCTAGTGTCTACAACTACCACTAATATTTTTCAACAGAGACAAAAGAATTTTATGAACAGCCTAACCTTGTCTGAACAAATCTAATGCTACTTTAAATCTCAAACTCCTCAAATATTTTAATTGCTGAACAAGGATGTACGAGTATGAAATCTTATCGAGAAAGTCAATACTGCTATGTGACTTCAATATACAATAAGTAATCACCTTAATGTGATATGAATGTAGCATTATAAAAATACCTAGGCTTACTAAGTAGTTTTTCTTTCAACTGACTGATAAATGTGTATTAATAAGAAACATTACAATTAAAATGAATATTAAGTTTTTAAAAAACTACAGATGGTTCGTTTAATTATTTAGTAAAAGATTAAAACAGATTTCACTAGACTGATAAAGTTTATAGTGATTACTTAGAAAAACCACGATATTCACTCTCCATGCTAAAATTACTCCAATTCACTTTAATAAAATGTTTGTTTGACATAAGAAAGGTAGGATCACATGCTTTTTAAACTATCAGTTAAGTGGATTTATGAACACAAACACATATACCACTGATAACTGAGTTTAATAATTTTTGTAATATATACTTATCAGAATTATTATTATTATTATACATTAATAAAGTTATTAATTGATCACCTGTGTGTGAATTTGTTACTTATAACTTCCTGGTTCCTACAGTAGATCTTAGGTCATACTGTTCCTGATAAATGATATGAAAATTTCAACTATTTGGCTGCCCAACAGTGTTAATATATGGCTAAACCAAGTAAATAAAGTTTATCATTCTGTGAGTGGTATTCTGCATAAACAAAGCTCCCTTCCTTGGATGGCACTTACACCCAAGTCATGTGCTCATCTTAAATGGCACTTGTATAAAAACGAATTGCTCACCATGAAATATGACTTCACAAAAAATGATAATACTTGGATAATACTTATATAAAAATGACAGCTAACCTTTCTTGGATAGCATTTGTTCACAAATAACTTACTCACTTCTGGATTGCACTTACATACAAATTGAAGTATCAGCTTGAATTACACTTTTAAACTAATGAAGTGGTCATCTTTGGATGACACTTATACAGTACACCAATGAAATGTTCACCTCTGAATAGCAATTATACACAAACTAAGTTATCTTCCTTTGATGATTCTTATAAGGATGACACTTGTAGGCATTCAGCTTTGGGTAGCACTTGTACATATATATGATATTGACCTTGGATTGCAATTGAATGCGACTCTTTTTTTTTTATTTCAAGTCTATTTCACATTTTTACCTAGCAGCTATTCTGACTTCTTTAAGTGACCATACTCTAATGATTACTAATAAGTTTCCTCTTTGAATATGTGAGTGATAAATGTAAGCATGAAAATATTAATTTTATTAATTCATCAGAATATTTTGTGACATTCTCAACTTTTAGATTTGCTACAGAAACAATAAATTTCTTATTTTCGTGCAGCATTGAATTGATTAAAAATTAATTGAAAATGTTACATGTCACCCTTTTGCTACTTTTAGTTCTCAAAGTATACATTCCAGTGGTTTGATATTCCTACATTTGGATAGGTGTACATATGAAACAATACTTAAGAGTTAATAATTCAGAGATTTGTTTTAGTTTAATACAATTAATAATGTACATATATTTATTTACATGTTGTATGAAACTTTTAGAGTACACAGCACCTGATTTTTTCACTGTTACTTGACCTTCTGGTACCAAGCTGAGCAGCATGCACGCACTGTCTATATATTCGGTCTTGTTCACTGGCAGCCCTGAGTTGCTGCACTCTTGCTGGCACTTCAATGGCTTGAGCACAAGTTAAGGAACATGCCCAATGAAGGAAGGGGACACATGTGTTACCAAGGTATGGATTCATAAAGGTAAACACCTTGTAGCCTGATATTCAAAGAAGAAAAAACTCTGTAGACAACAGACAATCAAAAGGATATAATTTTCAAGGTCTCATATTCTTCTAAATATTGTGAAAAAAATTAATTATTCATAGCTTTCTAAAAGGAATATTAAACATTCAATTTCATAGAAACTAATAATAGCTCCATTACTAAAGTAACACTTTTGGAAGTATCCAATTCAGAAACCTTGTAAGATATTATTGAATTAATCTACATGTCATTTTTTCAAACTTTACATAGTTACTTTCATTACAATTTAAAGTAATATATAATCTCAATTCATAGATTTCCAAAGACATTTCATTGGATCTACTGTTGAACTTCAGGGAGAAACTTGTATGACTATTTAATGCTAAAGAAATACAAGCACTGAAATAGTTTAAAATTGACTATGTGATATTCACAAGTAAAGGTTTTACCAATACAATTTTCAAGGCTACAATTATGAGAAGTTCAAAAAAAGAAATGTATTGTGTAAGAATAAACAGACTTGGAAAACAAGATATCACTTGCTATTGTAGCACTTGTTGATGGTTTAATATCACACTTCTGATCAGAGCAGGGTCCTAAAGCAGTATTACACAAACTTAGAATTTCTATGCCAGGGATCATTTTCATAACATACATAGAGAGGTTAACTCCTGGCTCATACTTACTTTAACAAACCCCAGCTGTACCCTCTACTTGAGTATACTCCATACCTCAGGAAAGATGTAATACTGAAGCATGAACAGTTGAGTACAATCTTTCTTGAATGGCCACTGTGGTATGTAACCTTGCCTGAGCTAGTGATAAGAGCAAGGGTAGGGCTGACTGCAAGGATGTTAACTACATGAAAGTACAGAATACTTCCATGAAATTTTTTAAAAATTCACCTGAATAAAGATGTGTTCTTATTCTAGTTATGGTAGGGTAAAAAATATTGTCAATTTTCAACTGCCACAGCTCTCCATATCTCAAGGCCTTCTTAGGCCTAAATGTTAAAAATTATCATTACCTGCTGAATTTAAGTGTTGAACTGACTTGGTTCTAGTTTCTACACTCATATCTTCAAACACTATTGTAATAGATTTTATCATTGGATAGGTTCTTTTTAATTATTTAGTAAAAATAATGCAAAATCCAGGCCACTTAATGAAAGAAAAGCATTATATTTCTTCAAATGGAAATTATACAAATTTCATGTTCATTAATGTAACTAATGATAAGCAGGTGATAGGCCTAACTTCACCAATAAATAAAGCTAGTCACTTGCTAATAGGGGTGTAGTGATGTTGGAGCACTGCTCTGACACTTGCAATTGAAGCTTAGTTCTGACACTTCAAAAACTAAAAATATGCATATAAAAGCATAAGTAATCCATTTTACACCTGAAATTGTTTTTCATATCCAAACTCTCAGAGATTCAGAGAACCCTGGCTGTTTGTGATTCTCGTGTCCACTGCTAGAGCTCTCTCAGACTGTCCAGCACATACACACACACACACACACACACTATCGCTCTACCTCAGGAGCTGGCTTCAGGCATCGTGTAATCATTCCAACTGAAGAGCAGGTGCCAAAGTGTTAAAATGTTTTTGTCATATGACTATTCAAACACATGAATATGGTAATAAGACTCTTGATAAGATTCATTTTACAATTATACTGTATTTGAAATGTACATATTTACATAATATACAATAAAGATCACATTTTTTTTAGTTACTCATGTTGTCAGGACAGGAAATATACAAAGCATTATAAAAGTCAAAGTTGTTAATACTGTAGTGCAGTTAGAAATATAGTAACTTAATAAGATATAAATTTTTAAAACTTGTTTTAATATTAGTGATTTTTATATTGTATGCAGCTGTTTTTCTCCTTGCTACTTAATTTAAAAAAGTTGATTTGCATGTTTTCTCTCAGTAGTACATGGATATTCAATTTAATACTAATGCAAATAACTGATCTCAAATAATTAGTACTTCATATATTTCCTTTATATAAAACGAACCCACAAAAATATTAATTAGATTTTGAATATGAGACTTTTACCCTGATGGTGATGGCACACAAACATTTTGACAGGGCTCTGGTACTACAAAATTTAACACTAAACCACTGCTTGCTAACTTATCTCATGTTTCTAGTATTTTAGTAGTTTGTTGAAACAGAAACCCAAAATTTACAGTACTAAATTAGCTAACACAAACTCAATAAGCAATCAAAAGCTTACTTTTCCTACTCTTGTCTAACTGGCATTTTTATATTGTTCAAATCATATCTCATACTAAAAAAAATTGTAATGACTAAACTAATGTGTAAACCTACAACACAATGTTTATGATGGCATACTGATCACAACAAACAGATAAAGAAAACATTTATTAATACAAGCTTGCTCCAACAGCCAGTAAAACTCAAAACTTGCATCTAATCACAGTAAAAGTAAATTAAAAGAAAATTCAAATTAGCAATTAAAATGTTGACAGTAAAAAACAACTTAGAATTGGTTTACATAATAAAATTAAAAATTATGAAAGATTAATCTCAAATATAATGCATGTTAAACTTATAATAAAGCTTAGAAAAAAATAAGTACACTAACTCAAATTGATCACAGATTAATATCAGCATAACATGGATTCAAAATACAACTCAGGTTAAATGCTCATGAACACCCCAGTGAAAAAATAAGCAAAACAAACAATGCAGAAAAATAAAATACAATTTACAAAATATGAAATACAAAAGAACTAAAGCAAAGAAAATATGTTAGTTAAATGAATACAAAATTCAGGAACAAAAATAAAAGAGGATGAAGCAAAACTGATCTGTGAGAAGAAATGAAATGTAACACAAAATTAAACATTTGGAATGATAGTAAATTAAAGGAAAAAAAATTACGAATAATGATAAAATAAATAAAACATGATATAAAATTAGGCTAAAAATAACTAAACTGCACATAATAGAAATAAGAAGTAACATAAAACTGAAATAAAATATAACTAAGCACAGCACAGTGGAAATACAAAACACTGACACTAAAGAAAATAAAACTGCACTGTTAAATAAGGAAAGTTTCATAATACACACATAAAAGTAAACTGAAACTTTATAGCACCTAAACAAAATTTTTACGAAAAACAAAAAATGGAAAGTACACATTCATTACAAGATAAAAGTCTGCCAAGGGTCTCCATAAGTTTCTACCCTTCAGTAGAAATATTACAGAGTAGTTTTTGGGTTCTGTAGAATTTTATACCCTAGCATTGTCTCCCAAACATTGGATTTTTTCCTGAATGAGCTGCTGTCTTTCCTTGTTAATTCTCCTCATCCTGCAGTTAGCTTTCCTCTGCATAGTGGCCCAGGCCCTAATCCAGCTGGCAGTTGATTTCTGATAGTGTTGCTATCACTTCTCCATTTTAAGGATGTCCAGATTATTTGGGAAAGAGGTAGACAATACAGCTGGTAGGGCCACAGCCTGACTGTTGGTAGCAGTAGGTCCACGTGGTGAAACAATGAATGATGCTCCCAAGGTAATGCAAGAATAGTAGGACTTCTCCCTCTTATTCTTTTATACATTGAGGTCTACAAAGAACTTCTTGGAATGTATTAGTTTATGTCTCAGCCAAAAGTGATCCAAAATGCCTCCCTTGAACAGAGAAACTGTATTACTCTCTTCAGCTAAGTACTCTTTCTTTCCAATGGTCCCAATAGCTGGTGATGTTGGTGCATATTTGGTTATGGAAACAAGTGCAGAAGCAGGTAACTCTCACTCAATGGTTATAATTCCAGTGCTCAAGTATACAACTAAGTACACACAATCTAGTTCCTCTAACATAAGGTGTGAATGTATCAAATGCACAAAAATTTATTACATAACATATTGACTAATCACACTTTCAGTCCATCACATCAGTGGTCAGCTATAACACCGAGAGATATGGCAGCTAATTCCAGTGTTTGTGACTCTTTTTCCACACTGTAGTTGATATGCAGCTTTTGGGCATCACATAATGAGGCTGCACAACAAAACTAACTCACCAGCATCAACCCTAGTAGTCTTGACAACCAATACCAGTGTTTTGCTGCTCTTTTTGTCACACTGGAGTGCATGTACAGCTTTTTAGGTGATAACTGGTCATTCAACGCAACACTAGCTCAAATTGTACCATGAAAATAAAAGTAATCACAAATGAAAGTCATCAGAAATTCTGTTCTTATCATAACTCATTATCTAAATCATATTTCTTGTTGTCAAATACAAAATCTGTGAACACCACACACACACGGTAAGTAGTAAAAGAACGAGGGATAAAAATAAAATTACTTTCATCATCATAACATAGTGACTAGCCTGAATCATTATGCCTTCCTTGCTAGTACTACTATCTAAGAATTGGAAAACATGCATCAAGCACAGTGCTGGTGCACAGGTAATTTGCACCATAGGCAAACTTTCCACCTGGCATTCCCACCAGTTTCTCTTCCCCAACCATTTCTAATATAAAGGAATAAAATCTTGAGTGAAGTCTTACATGTACCAATTTATTTTACACACTTTTCATTAACCCTAGAACATAAGTTACACTGCATCAAGTCTAATATAATTTATCATAAAAGACGTGCCAGTAAAAGTAAATCCTTATCCTGTTAAAACGTCATACCTGTACCTTTAATAGTTTTCAAGTTATTGTAAAGAGTACGACAATTGGGCTGGGCTGCTCAAGATGAAATTTTTGCTCATAACAATAATGTCAAAAACTAGAACTTTATTTTCATGCTCTCAGTTTTGTAAATTTATAAACAAGTTCTTTAAGATCACATTTTTCTGCAAATGACTGTTATATTGACACAGTGACCTGCCCAGCAAGTCTTTCTTGAAGAACAAAGCTTTTGATCACTTTCAGCTTTGAAAAGCTACACTCCCCATTAACTCGAAGATTCAAGAGAATGTGGAGAGCAATGAAGATGTATGAGAGTTTATATTCACAA